TACATTGCACTGTGGTCACGCTCGCTCCGGGATTCGGGGGCGGCAGGCTTCACTATAGCCACGCCCCATCTTATCACCGTTATGTGGGTGCAAACTTTGATGGTGCATGGCAGGCCGCTTGCTAATAGTCAGCCAGTCTGGTGGCCGCTTGCTAGGAGTCGGCCCACTTCGGGACGGCTTACTAAACCTCGCCACCTTCCCGCAGCCGGCCACTGGACCAGCCAGCCACGAGAAGGCGGCCCTTCGTCTTGGATGCTTGAGGGGCACAGTCGGTCCGATGTCTTGAAAAGCCAGGGGGAGCCGATAAGGCTACCCGTGGTCATTTACTCCGACACCCTGAGCTCCCAGAGCGCGTCGACACGGGCGAGTGTTGCCCTGGCGCTGAGGTCGAGGTCAGACTTGGCGCCGCCACATCCGCTGAATTGGATCTCGCTGGCGGGCGACCTATTCTCCTTATGCAAAATCACAGTTCCTGCTCTGCTGGACTCCGGGGAAGAGGAGCCGCCATGGCTAGTGCGGAGCAGGTCGGGGGTAGCGGCGGTGGACATGTTGTCTGACGGAGACGGTTTGGAAAATGACAGAGACCTCCCACCGTCCCACGACCCATGATCCATAGTGGGGTTTCTCCTGATTATTTTTGCAGTACATAGACGCGCGAGGTAAATTTACCTTGCAAGTCTGGTCTTTTTTTTGCCAGGGCCATGCAGGAGGTAAATTTATGTCACAACCTTTGTTTCTTCCCTAAAGTGTGTGGTTCAGCTGGGGTGAGGAATAAGAATTCCTCACCCAGGGTGACGAATAGCGCGTACTAGCAAAAGAGCCCGTGCGTTGCAACGGGAGAGTAAATAACACACGTTCTTAACCCAATAACCATGACTCAAGACCCTAATGTGTTCACGTCCTTTATTTTCACATGGCATCACATTTGTGTTGTTGATGGTGGTCTTAGTGCTCACACAACGAAAGCATGTTTGAAGATGATCAGTTCTAAGGCGTCTCTGTCTCGCGCACACTCGCTTAAAATAAAATGAGAAATATGTTCTTTTTCCCCGCAAGGTTTTTCACAGGTGTGCATGCGTGGTTACCGATGTTTTCTTTCCTCATTATCAGTAAGAAAGAAAAACATATCATACATTACAGATTAAGTTCACTCCAAAGTAATATTTTAGAAATATTTAACAGCTAAAAATATCATCATATTTAGATTCTACACATTTTTCTAATCAAGTTTCATGTATAACATGTTAAAATCGATGTTTGTACTTCTCTTATATATTGTACTCCGATTTTAAACATGTTTGTACTCCTCATATGCATGGGAATTTGTATACAAGGTCCAATGAAAGAGATGCCCCCACCCTTACCAAAATTGATAGGGTCTTGGCGTCAGTGGATTGGGAGCTCTCATACCCTGACCACATGCTCCAAGCTCTGTCTACGAACATCTCGGACCATGCACCGTTGCACCTCTCGACGAACACACACTTCTACCTAGAGAAACTTTTTCGGTTCGAGGCTTACTGGATGAAGTTGGTAGGCTTTGATGATGCACTGCGAGAGGCTTGGGTGTGTGATGACTCTATTGTGGATCCTTTCAAGAGACTAGACGCTTTACTTAGGAACACGATGACCTTCATGCAAGCTTGGGGACAACGGAAACGGGCAATATCAAGGTGCTCATGGCAGTGGCTAACTGGGTTATATTTAAGTTTGATCAAGTGCAAGAAATGAGACGGCTCTCGGAGTTGGAACTTTGGCTTACGAGAACTTTGAAGTTAGCCTTGCTCGGATTGGCATCCTTGGAGAGAACAATTGATCGTCAACAATCTTGCATCAGACGGTTAAGAGAAGGAGATGCGAATAAAAAATTATTCCAGTCTGTGGCAAATGGGAGAAGATCAAAACACTTCATTCCTCGCATCTTCCATGACTCGGAGATCATCACCGACCAGCAGCGTAAAGAGGATGTATTCTATCAGACTTTCAACGACCTGTAGGTACAGTGCACGAAAGAGAATTGTCAATGAATTTTCAGTCGCTCGGCATGGCACAACTCGAGTTGTCGGATATGGAGGAGATGTTCTCTGAGGAGGTTTGGAATGTGATTAAGACGATTCCACCGAACGTGCGCCCTGACCAGATGGTTTTATCAGAGTGTTTTACCACAAAGCATGGCCTATTATCAAGCACGAAATCATGGCGGCTCTGCTCAAACTTTTCATTGGTGACAACAAAGGGTTTGCCAAGTTGAACAAAGCTCACATCGTGCTGATTCCCAAGAAGGCCGACATGGTTGAGGTGGGGGACTACAGGCCCATCAACTTACCCGTAGTTTCTCCAAGTTGTTCTCTAAGATGCTGGCCAACCATGTGCATAGGAGGATGCCAGAGATTGTCTCTATCAACCAGTCCGCTTTCATCAAAGGGAGGAACATCCATGATAACTACCTCCTGGTCTGTCAAGTGGCCCGTAAGATTCATGCCACTAAGCAGTCGGGCCTCTTCCTGAAGCTCGACATCTCCCGAGCCTTCGACTCGCTTTCATGGCAGTTCTTATTTGAAGTACTGAGAGCAAAGGGATTTGGGCATAGATGGTTTAAATGGATTGCTTCAATTCTAGGCATGGCCAGTACCGAAGTCATTATCAACAGTGTATCCAGACGGCCAATCTTTCATGCCAAAGGACCAAGGCAGGGGGACCCGGTCTCCCTATTGTTGTTCGTCATCACAATGGACGCGCTCACGACGCTCATCGGCAGAGCTACGAAGGTTGGGGTTCTGAGTTCTTTCTGTGGTATCTCTTCCATGCAACGATTATCAATCTACGCTGACGATGGTGCAATCTTCATCCACCCTTCGGAGCAAGATTTGCGCTGTGTTAGAGAGGTGCTCCATCTATTTGGAGTAGCTTCTAGTCTAAGAATAAATTATGCGAAATCAGAAGCGATACTTATCGAGGGTACGGATGCAGACATGCAGAGGGTCTTGGACACATTGCACTGTTGGATGGGAGCATTCCCTTGTCGTTATCTTGCCATTCCCCTCGCAATCAAGAAGCTACGTCGTGCTGATTGGCAGCCATTGTTGGATCAGACGAGGAAATCACTCCCAGCTTGGCAACGAGGACTCATTCAAAGGTTAGGGAGATTGATCTTGGCCAAAACAGTGATCGCAGCTAGGCCAATTCATCAGCTCATGGTCCTTAACGCACCTAATTGGGTCTTTGATGAGATAGAGAAGTGGATGCGCTCATTCTTTTGGGCTGGGAAGGAGAGAATCAATAGTGGTCAGTGCCTCATCGCGTGGGACACTATAGCTCGCCCAATTTGCTTCGGTGGACTAGGAGTGAAGAATTTACAGCTACAAGCGCTGGCCCTACGGGTCAGGTGGGAATGACCGAGAAGGGTGGATCCCAGTAGGCCATGGCAAGGAATCCCGATGATCGAAGATAGCGAGGCAAGGATAGTGTTTAGCAGCATGGTGAAGATTGAAGTGGGAAATGGCGAGAGGATTCTCTTTTGGAAGGTAGGTGGATACATGGATTCACGGTCAGAGAGATCACTCCAGCTATCATTGAGCTTGTCACCACTCATGTCCATAACACCAGGACAGTGCAGCAGGGCCTCATCAATAATGCCTGGGCTGAGGATGTTCGCGGAGATATTTCATTTATAGCACACATCTAAGTGGCCAATCTGTGCCATGCGATCAACACAGTGTATAGGAATGAAGAACAACCTGACCTATTTCATTGGCCTGCGGATGAAAAAGGGACCTACACGATGAAGTCCGTCAACTCAAGGTTATGCCTGGGCTTGACCAGATCTTCGACGGCGGGTTGCATTTGGAGGAGCTAGGCGCCTTTGTGGTGTAAAATCTTTGCGTGGCTCACCGTTCAATATCGACTGTGGACCCCGGATCGGAGGGACGGACACGGACTTCAAGATGAGCCATCGCCTTGTTTCACCTGCTTACAGGACGAGGATAACGTGGACCACATCCTCACACAATGTTCGTATGCTAGAGAAGTGTGGGATCGATGCTTCGAGACCCTGCGGATCAACATCCAGGCACCTACTCAAACGCACATGTTCAGAGATTGGTGGTTTGACAAGAGAAGAAGTTTCACCGGACGTATCAAGTGTGGATTCGACTCGTTTGTGATTAGTACCGCTTGCTCGTTGTGGAAGCAGAGGAATGGTAGGATGTTCAACAGAGTTCATGAGAAGAGATCACCACCACAACTTGTTGAGCAGGTGTTTCTGGATGTTTGGGACCGGAGATTTGCTGGCTTCGAAGTAGAAGGATTAGATTCTTTCGTGAGAGAGTGACTTAGCCTTGTTTAGCTGATGTTGGTGTCTGGTTTATGCGAGTCGAGATGTTCGCATTTTGGTCAGGCATCTTGTAATTAAACTTTCTGTCTTCTATAAATATTTTTCTTTCTCAAATACGCACGTGTCATTTATTATAGAAGAAAAAGGGGATAAGTACCCCAAATCCACAGTTACAAGTCTCCTATAAATATATGTTCCGCCATTCGCGTACTCCTGAAAGAAAACTGAAACCGGCGTACGGTCGAGTCGGTCCATCGCCACGTGTCAAGCTGGGTCCTGCTCGCACGTTGCGACGCGCGCCATCTGGTGTTCGCCGAAACGTAGGTACAGATGACCACCGTGTGTCCCTCTCGGACACGCGCACTGCTCGAGGGCAACTCGTGCCGCGGCGCGCGCACGGGGCCGTCTCGGCACGCTCTGTCCCTCGGTGGCCACGCGCCATGCTCACGCCCCGCCACAGCAGTCCTCCCCAACCACGTGTGCTCCGCTCGCGCCCACACACCGCCCAGCGTGGCAGCGTCTCCCCCCAATAGCAAACTCTGGAGTCCTCTCCCTCTCCTGAATCGTACGCGCGCCCCGATCGATATAAGCGTTCGAGCGCGGACTGTCGTGCACGCATCGATCTCCGACCTTGAATCTCTATACCCATAACGACAACGTCGAACACATGCGCGACGACGGAGCGACGACAATGCCGCCACGGCCGGCGCCATCTCGGCCTCCTCCGTGGGAGGCGCTCTCCCTCGTGGCCAACTTCCTTGATGCCGCGTCCCTTGCCGCGGCTTCCTGCGTCTCCACCTCCTGGCACGCCGCCTTCTCCGACGACCACCTCTGGGCGCGGCTCTGCCGCTGCCAATACCCCTCCGCCATCGGCCTCCTCCCCTTGTCCGACAGCAGCGTCAATGCCGGCGACCGATGCTCCTCGCCGCACCGCGGCCTCTTCGCGCTGTTCCACTCCGCCGCCTCCCGTGGCCGCTCGCTCCCAGCGCCTCGCCTGTCCCTCGCGGACGTCACATTCGCCATCGACCTCTTCGCGGCAGGCGGAAAGAACACGCTCTCGTTCGCCGTCGCTGCGTGCGACGCCGGCGTCAAGAAGGCCACCGGCGGCGTGTTCCAGTTCGCGGTGGACGTGAGTGACCGTAACGCTGTGGCCGGGCCGGGCGAGCACTGGAGCGTGCGGTGGACGGCCGTTCGGACGGGGCTCGGGGTCGCGCCTGCGGCGATCGTGATGATGGACGCCAAGGTGCCGGCATCGAGGGCCGGAGCGCTCGGCTCTGGCGTGAGGGGGGAGGCTTGGGCCACCGAGGCGCTGCCCGCGCCGGGATGTGGCGGGGGGAAGCTGGAGGCTGAGGTCGTGGTCGAGGTGAGCGGAGAGGAGAGGCTGGTGGAGAAGGTTAGGCTCGGGGTGTTGTTGGATTGCAGGTACGTGAGCGTCGACGAGGGGCTAAGATACTTGCAGCATTTCCTCTTGTAATGCGTGTATGTGCTGCGGAAGAGTACTTCCTGAAGATGGGCTGCTGGCCATGGTTTTGTTTTAGCTTATCTGTGTCCATACGTGTTCGTGTTGTAACCTGCAATCGTTGGAAACGCAATTCTTTGGGGACTGCTCAGTCCATGATCGATCATGTGAGCGTAGGATCAATCACATCACCCGACAAATCCAACCCCCATCACCCTGTTTTGCACTTAGTCGAACTTTGACCGAGACAAAACTCCTTACCACACTTTGAGCAAAAGGTGTAGCTTCAGTAATTGTGTTGGGCATGCTTGATTCACAAGAATTCTCCTTTCTGTGCGGATAATTAATAATGGAGCAGTTTGATGGAAACATCTCATCAAACGTACTTCCTCCGCCCGAAAATACTTATCATCAAAACAAATAAAAAGAAATCTATTTAGAACTAAAATACGTCTAGATATATCTCTTTTTATCTATTTTGATGACAAATATTTCCGGTATGATAGGTAGAGTTTCCCAAAAGACAACATATCGAAACAAGTCGAGACGGTCAAATCAACAAACCAAGCAAGACATTAAGTAATTAATTTATAATGAACACTCGTAATTATGTAACTTTTTTACTCTTGAAAAGCAAATATAACAACATTGTTTATTTTACTAATTTATTCATGAGCACATCTGGCATCATCCTTAAAACGCCATATGACTAGATTAGATAGGAGGGTGATGGAGAACGTATCATCGCTGCCGCCGGGTCCAACGGAGAAGCATTTCGACAGTCGACCATGCAATCATCCAAAGAAGAATAACAAAGATGGTTCGCAAAACAACAGAAACACAACGAAGAGTTTTGCAGTTTGGATCGCGGGCGCACAGACCATTTAACTTGATCTTGACATTTTCGACGTCTTCCAAGACTCTGCCCATAGAAGATAATAAAACAAATAATTAATATTCATACTAGTCTCTGTTTATCTAGTACTAACAAATAACTGATACATCAAAAAAATAAATGCAGAATCACTAAGCAAAATCATAAGAACTTCTGAAGAAATAAAAGTATACACAAGTAAAAAATAAGTTATACATATCATTTGCATATAACAATTAGTCGACTGGTTGTTTATATAGGAAACTTACATTGCGCATGGGTAGCAAACCATATGAGAAGAAGCATCGGTAGTACGATTGAGTAATGCAAACGGTTCCTATACTTGTCCATGGGGAAATTATTGTGTGGCCTTGTTTGCTACGGATCTATAATACAGTACCCTCGTTGGGGGTCCTAATATACCCAGCAGTCAACTTGAGGTAGAGGGCAAAGATGTAGCGCGCAATCAAAATAGATCCCTAAAATGACGGTGCATTCTGTATATAGATTGATAGCTTGCCTGCTAACCATATACTTATCTTATAAATTATTACTGTGATATGAATATATGATTCGACATTCCTTGTAAGATCTCAAGTCAGATACGTATGCTAGAATTCAAACATTGTTCAGTTGACTGAACTTAGAGCATCTCTCGCAACCTGCCAACTGCAAAACTCGTTTAAGGGCGGCTGCAAAAATATTACGGTGACGTGAGCGCTTCTGCAGAACAGCTGCGGAACGCGTTTATGGGATCTGTTCCGCCTGAGCATTCGTGACACCGTAAATTTTGCATAGCATCAAACAAATTACATATTTCAATAATATGAACCGCATAGAATCATAATATAAATTCAACATACGACTATATAAATTGTTCGAAAAGCAATTCACAATACAACAATCGTTTTCACTACAAACAAATGTTCCAATTTAAATAAAAGAAAAGTATGTTTTTCGTCTCTCAAGTTCTCAAAAAGTGCAGACTTCGTCCTTCAACTTTTTTTGGTCTACTTTTGGTCCCTCAAGTTTCAAAACCGGTCAAGTTTTGTCCGAATTCCGGTTTCGCTAGAAAACAGGACATGTGGCGTGGTATTCTCTCTCTCCTCACTTGCCACGTCCGACCCGCCGTTGGGTCAAACAGACCGCCCGCGCGACGCCGTCTTCACTCTCTCCCCCTTTCCCTTTCCTCTGTGACCTCTCTCCCAAACCCTAGGCTTGGCGGCGGCGATCCCGATTTGGCGTGGTGGTCGGCGTTGGCGTCGGAGCCAGGGACGGCAGCGCCCTTGAGAAAAGCTACGGCGGCGCCGATGCAGTATACCTAGGCGCATATCTACGCGGCGGCACAGGCGGGTGTAGTGTGTTGCGGTTGCGGCGGCGCCGATCCAGTATACACTGGCGACGACGAGAACTATCAGGACAGCGACCACTGGTAGACCTTCAGGTATGTTTTTTGCGTATATTGTTTAGGATTCGTGGGTAGATGCCATCCACTTAGGTTGTAGCCGAATCTGAAATTTGTGTCCATCTATTGTAGGGAGTGATACGTCTCCAACGTATCTACTTTTCAAAACACTTTTGCCCTTGTTTTGGACTCTAACTTGCATGATTTGAATGAAACTAACCCGGACTGATGTTGTTTTCAGCAGAACTGCCATGATGTTGTTTTATGTGTAGAAAAGAAAAGTTTTCGAAATGTCCTGGAAATCTAGGAGACACTTTTTGGAATTAATAAGAATTTTTGGTGAAAGAATCAACATCAGGGGGGCTCACAGGCTGTCCACGAGATAGGGGGCCCCCCTAGGGCGCGCCCTCCTATCTCGTGGGCCCCCTGAACCTCCACCGACCTCAACTCCAACTCCATATATTCATGTTCGGGGAGAAAAAAATCAGAGAGAAAGTTTCATCGCGTTTTACGACACGGAGCCGCCGCCAAGCCCTAATCTCTCTCGGGAGGGCTGATCTGGAGACCGTTCGGGCTCTAAATAGGGGGATTCATCGCCGTCGTCATCATCAACCATACTCCATCACCAATTTCATGATGCTCACCGCCGTGCGTGAGTAATTTCATCGTAGGCTTGCTGGACGGTGATGGGTTGGATGAGATTTACCATGTAATCAAGTTAGTTTTGTTAGGGTTTGATCCCTAGTATCCACTATGTTCTGAGATTGATGTTGCTATGACTTTGCTATGCTTAATGCTTGTCACTAGGGCCCAAGTGCCATGATTTCAGATCTGAACCTATTATGTTTTCATGAATATATGTGTGTTCTTGATCCTATCTTGCAAGTCCATAGTCACCTATTATGTGTTATGATCCGACAACCCCGAAGTGACAATAATCGGGATACTTCTCGGTGATAACCGTAGTTTGAGGAGTTCATTTATTCACTATGTGCTAATGCTTTGTTCCGGTTCTCTATTAAAAGGAGGCCTTAATATCCCTTAGTTTCCGCTAGGACCCCGCTGCCACGGGAGGGTAGGACAAAAGATGTCATGCATGTTCTTTTCCATAAGCACGTATGACTATTTACGGAATACATGCCTACATTACATTGAAGAACTGGAGCTAGTTCTATGTCACCCTATGTTATAGCTATTACATGAGGAATCGCATCCGGCATAATTATCCATCACTGATCCATTGCCTACGAGTTTTTCACATATTGTTTTTCACTTATTTACTTTTCTGTTGCTACTGTTACAACTACTACAAAAACCCAAAGATATTTATCTTTACTTTTGCTATCATTACCTTTATTATCATACCACTTTTGCTACTAAATACTTTGTTGCAGATACTAAGTTATCCAGGTGTGGTTGAATTGACAACTCAACTGCTAATACTCAAGAATATTCTTTGGCTCCCCTTGTGTCAAATCAATAAATTTGGGTTGAATACTTTAGCCTTGAAAGCTGTTGCGATCCCCTACACTTGTGGGTTATCAAGGAGTAATGGATCCTCTGGATTTAATTCATGTCATGTTCCATTATAATGGCGAATTTGTGAAGAATGTGAACCACATGATGTATTTGGGAGGCAGTGAAGCTATGTTAGACATTGACAGAGATAAGCTTTCTTTGCCCGAACTTTTGGGGCATTTAAGAGATCATTGCACTGATGTGGAGGGGATACAATGTCAGTTTTATTGGTTAGTTCCAGGAAAAGAGATGAATGATGGACTTGTTTTTCTGCATGATGACAACACTGTTCTTAAGATGGCTGAGTTTGTTTATGATGGAGGAGTTGCATATGTGTATGTTGAGAAGCATGCTCCTGCTGATGGGGAAGAAACAGTTGCAACAGCATGCTCTGCTGGAGAGGAAGAGGAACAGTTCACCCCTTTAAGTGCAGTTATGCGAGAAGAGCAAGTGCCCAGATTAGATGGGAATACTGATGCACAAGATGGATAGTCTGATGAAGAGGATAGTGATTATATACCTGATGATGAGTCAGCATCTGACGATGATGAAGAAGCAAGAAAGATCAATGCTGACTATGTAGAGTACAAGAAGAAACTCAGGGCTAGCAACATTGACATTTTAGATGAAGTGTTCATTACAGATGCAGCAGTAGGTTCAAGGGAAAATGTTGGAGAGGATGCAGCTACTGAAAGCTACTCAGACAGCTCGGATTTTGATGACTCTTTTGAAGAAAACAATGATGGAGAGGTTGTCAGCAAACCAAAAAAATATCCTGTGTACAAAGACAGAGGAGAAGTACCAGAGTTCTGTCTTGGAATGAAACTTGAATCAAAGGAAGAGTTCAGAAAAGCAATAATTACTTATGGACTGCATCACAGAAGGTTAATTAGGTTTAAGAAAAAGGATTCTGTAAGGTGCAGAGCAGAGTGTGATTGGGGGACATGTCCCTGGTTCTGTTTACTAAGTAGGACAAGTAGGTGCAATAGTTGGCAGGTGACATCTTTCATAGATAAACATTGTTGTCCAAAAAGGAAGGACAACAAGCTGGTCACTTCAGTGAGGATTGCACAAAAATATGATAAGCTCATTAGAGGCCACCCAGGATGGAAGATTGACAGCTTGAAAGCACATGTGCAAGAGGACATGTTTGCAAATGTGAGCACATCACAAATTAAGAGAGCAAAACAAATTGTGAAGCAAAGAGTGTATGATTCCACCAAGTTCCAATACTCAAAAGTGTTTGATTATCAGTTGGAATTGCTGAGGAGCAATCCAGGAAGCACTGTTGTTGTCAAACTTGATCCAAAGGAAAGAGTACCGACATTTCTGAGAATGTATGTGTGCTTGGCTGCTCCGAAAGAAGGTTTCAAGGCAGGTTGTAGAAAAGTAGTAGGAATGGATGGATGTTTTTTCAAAGGAGCAACAAATGGAGAGCTGCTCTGTACTATAGGGAGGGATGCAAATAACCAAATGTACCCAATTGCATGGGCAGTAGTTGAGAAGGAGAATAATGACTCATGGGATTGGTTCTGTAATTCATTGTTTAGAGATTTGGAAGTGGAAGATGGTCAAGGCTGGGTGTTCATATCTGACTAGCAGAAAGTGAGTGCTACATAATTTAGAGATCTCCATAATTTATTGCTACTTTTTGCAAATTGGAAATGCTAATTAACAATTTCTTTTTTCAGGGAATTATAACAGCAGTTCAGAACTGGGCACCATTGGTTGAGCATAGGAATTGTGCCTTTCAAACCACCTCAGAGCAAGGTCACTGCTACCTCAAAGGCCACTGTGAAGAATCGACAAAACCTTCTGGTTGTTGGATGGCTCTCCCAGCCCCACCCCGGCGATCTCCACCACCCTCCGGCGATCTCCACTTCTAGCCACCAATTCCTAGTTCCTCTCCACTAGATCTCTTCGGCGTCTCGGGATCTACGCATTCATACCCATCTTCTATGGGTTCCATGGAGGATTCCACCCTTGGCTTGGATTTCTCCAAGGGTTTGGCCTTTGCAGATAAGGTTTTCCAATCTATGGTCTTTTCGGTACATGCTTTGGAGGACTCGGACATCTTCACCATGGTGGTCTCTTTTGGTCGTCACAATTTTCGTTTGAATGAAGATTCCGTGGCCGCGGCTCTGGAGGCAGCCGTTGGCGGCTCGGGCATTGATCTCATGGTTTTTCTGATTAAGGATAAGGTATTTGGTTTCCAAGTTTCCTGCAAAGTTGTTGCTTTGTTCATTCTTAGTCTTCGGTCTTTTTCTTGCGATCAATTCAAATGTTACTTTCATCTTTGGAGTAACGGTGGTCCTAACTGGAGCCGCGAGTTTAAGATCTGGAAGTTGGAATGTGATGCTGAGTGGATCCTTGTTAGGCCCTCTAAAAGGCGTGCTACTCTTGGGGCTTTAGCATTGCGTTCTAGGCCATCTAAGTCTTCATTAAAATCCTCTCGGTCCATTGGCAAAAAATTATCGTTTGCAGTCTTTCAGAATTATGGTGCTTGCCAGGGTTATCGTTATCCGGCCATGGAAAATTGCATTCAAACTGCTGAAGATGCGAGTTACTCAATTCCTCCTCATGAGCGGGTTATTATCCGTCCTTCGCCATCGGCGAATCTCCGGTGGACGTCGGCAATGCCATCTATCTCATTTGGTACGGTTCAAGATCTTCTGCCAACAACTGATCGCACGCCGCCAATCTCAGGCGGGTTGGATTCTTTGAATCGGGACATGCCGAGCCATAACGGGCCACACTTGCCGTCTGCTGTGGGCCTTGATCAGCCCACACCCTCGGCTGAGTCGGACCGGGCTGGGCTGGCTTCCTCTGTGGAGATTTTGGATATCCCCTCATCTCAGCAGGCCAGGGAGGATTTTGATAATTTAATTTCTGACATGGTTGACGAAATTTCTACGTGTCAGAAGTGTTTGAAGCAGGGACATTTTGCGTCTGCATGCACGTCTAAGCTTTGGTGTATTTCTTGCCTCCGTTCTGGTCATGTCAAGAAAGATTGCAACAGGTTCGCCAAGATTTTGGGGCTCGTTTGGCAAGCAAAACCCGTTAATGCTCCATCTTCCGAGGCACGCTGCGGGAATATCTCTCTGACAACTCTTTTACCAAACTTGTACCTCCCTTCCACTTCCGCATTTACGCCATCGCCCAGTTCCATCAGCCCAGGACCCAAAAATCCATTGGCCTTGCCACCTGCAACCCCTCCTTCGCTGTTGCACTTGCCGTCCTTGGAGGTAGAGTGCTCCGTCCCGATGGCGAACTTCCACCTGGATCCCCTGCTGTATTTTCCTGCTGGCCACCACATCGTCGATGGTTGGGAAGATTGACTCCCGCGTACTTTTGCGACGCCACATACCCCAATTGTGCGCCGCCATGAGGAGTTCATGCTTGCAGAGGTAATGCCTATCCCCCAGTCTGATGAGCTTGGTGCTGCTAGAGAAGAAGTTGTGTAGTGGCTGCAAGCGCATGGAGTTTTTGTTAGGTCAGCGCCGCCATGGAGTTGTGCAGTGGCTATTTGAGCTTCGGGATGCTGCGGTCAGATTTTCTTTGCTGCAGCTCCCGCCACAGCCGCTGGGTAATGACCGTTTTGTGAGATTTATGAAGCACGATGAGGGCGAATCTTTCCGTGGCGTTCAGGGTTTTCGTCAGGGGCTGCTAATGTTTCTTGGCATACCGTTGGACCTTCATAATATTGAATGCATCAGGATAGCTGTGAACACTTTTGGAAAGTTTCACCATTGGGTCAGCGAGGACCCCTATCTGGTTCATTCTCTGGTGTTCGCTTCGTTCCCAGAGGATATTCTTGTGCCACGTGATGTGGTTTTCATGGATTATGCGGCTTACGGAGGTGCTAGAGTTTCCTGGACTGCGCCACTGTATATTTTGGGTGCCAACTTTGTAGAGCAGATGCCCCAGGATGAGGATTGGATGCCTATCAATGGCAATCCGCATCCGGTTCCCGATGTTTCGTTCCCTGAGCTGCCCCCATTCAACCTGCCTGCTTATCCTGCTTTGGGGTGGAATGCAGTCCCCCCTCCTCCGCCTGAGCCTGTGATCAATGAGGGGGCTGATGATAATTGGGACAATTGGAATGACAACGTGCAACCAGAGCCTACCCAAGATCAAGAATCAATGGTGGTTGATCTCTCAGCCCAGCCAAGCTCTGTTGCTGACCATGAACCGCCTGTTGTTGTGGTTGAGGATGATCTGCCTGAAGCTCCTGCTATGCCTCTATTTGCTGATGATGTAGTTAACAACTGGGCCATTTTTGTCTATCAGCCTCCTGCTGTCAGGGAGGAGATTATTTTGCCTCGGTGCCTTTTGGGCCTCCTCATCCTCCTGACTTGGTGTGGAGGAGATCATTTGAGAGCCTTCTACAAGCCCCGGTTGTTTTCTCGGTCCCCAAGTCAGTTATGCTGAAACCACTGTCGCCCGTTGTTCTGTCTAAACGAAGCTGGGATTTTGCGTTCAGTGACTCTGATCTGCCGAGACTTACTTGGAGAGAGTAGGAGACGCCTAGGCCTGTCACCAGGGCGCTTTTTTTAGATGTTGATGTGGAACCTGTGAAGGTGCCTTCCCCTGCAGTTGCGGTGGCCAAAGCGAGAAAGCCACAGAAAACCTTGGCGCCAACTCCAATTGTGGACACCTTGGTTAGGCGTTGCACTAGAAGCTCTGTTCAGCGTGATGGGTTCAAGCCAACCTTCCAGGAGCTCGCCATTCAGCCCAAGAGGAAGAAGCCCAAATCCAAGCCTTTCACGGCCCAGATGCCTGATGAGCCTGCTGAAGATGGAATCCCTCCTGCAACTCATGTCAGCCGACTCCAAGAAGTAGGGAGAGAGTTGGAAATTGATGCTGCTCTCCTATCTGTGGATGCACTTATGGTGGACCCACTTGCTGCTGTTTCGTCTAAAACTGATGATTAGTGTGTCATTGGCATGTTGGGTCTGGCAAGCCCTTAAATTTGCTTTATCTCTTTATTTAGGCTGTGCTTTACCACTTGATCTTTTGTGTGTCTTAATATGGGGACAGACTTTATTATGCTATTCTGGAAATGTGGTATTGTGTACCATGTGGTTTATGGACTTTATCTTATGCTATAATGAGTAATATTTATAGAAACTAGAATGTTCTTTGCTGGAATGTACGAGGCCTCAATTCTGAAGCTAGGCAGAGAGCTGTCAGGCAGAAAATTGAGGAAAGTCAATGTTCAATTGCATGTCTGCAAGAAACTAAATGCTCCTCTTTTGACTCTAGGTCAATTAAGTCCTTCTGCCCCAAAAGATTTGACTCTTTTGCTTGTTCCCCTTCCATTGGTGCCTCTGAGGGAATCCTTGTGGTCTGGAATTCTGCTATTTTTAGTGGCACCTTAATTGAAGTGTAGTAGTTTGCTGTGGTGGTACAGTTCACCTCCAGGTAGAACAATGAAATGTGGACTTTAGTGGTTGTTTATGGCCCTTGCCAGGGTGAAGCCAGGGACAACTTTGTCACTTGGTTATATAACCTGTCTATCCCCCTTAATGAGCACTAGTTGTTGCTTGGTGACTTCAATTTCCTTAGGTCTGTGGAGAACAGAAACTTACCTGGTGGAGACATAAATGACATGTTTATCTTCAATGAGATAATTGGACACCTGGGACTTCTTGAGCTTCCTATCAAAGACAGGTCCTACACCTGGTCTAATATGCAAGATATCCCTCTCCTTGAGCAGTTAGACTGGTTCTTCACCTCTGTGGACTGGATTTCTGATTATCCTATGACTGAAGTGCCGCCCTTGGCTAGGACTGCTTCTGATCATGTACCTTGCTTGGTCACCATTAAGTCTTCCATTCCAAAATAAAATCTCTTTAGGTTTGAAAACTATTGGATGGAGTTAGAGGGTTTCATGACTATGTTGAAGCATCTTGGAAACGGCCCTCTAGGAAAATTCATATAACTGCTAGGATTGTAGACAAATTTAAAAGCCTAAGACAGTGCCTTAAGAGGTGGCAAATGAATGTCTCCAAACTAAAATTATTGATCAGCAAATGCAATCATGTTATTTTCCTTCTTGATGAGTTGGAGGAATGGAGGCCCCTTTTCATTCAAGAGATTAATTTCAGGAGAATTGTCAAGAACCATTTGGAAAAGCTTCTGCACCTGCAGTTCTTATATTGGAAAAAGAGATGCACTATCAGGTATTTTAAGGTTGGGGGAGAGAACACCAAATTCTTCCATGCTATGGCCACTGAGAGAAACAGAAGGAACTCTATAGCTAGCCTTAATCTACCTGATGGTTCTGTGGTCTCTGATCACTCCCAAATGGCTGGAATTATTTGGAGCTGCTTTAAGAATAGAATGGGCACCTCTAGAGGGATTGTGATGGGCTTTGACTTGCCTTCCCTCATTACCCCTATGGTTGGTCTTGAGGTGCTCACTAAGCCTTTTGAAAAGGAAGAAATGGACAATGTGGTCAAGCACATGCCTGTGGATAAAGCACCTGGTCCTGATGGTTTCAATGGTTTGTTTTTTAAGAAATGCTGGCACCTAATTGCAAGTGACTTCTATGAGCTGGCCCAGGCTTTTCATGAGGGTTCTGCTGTCTTGGAGAA